GAAGCCTACTAGCGCCCGGGTTACACACCGTGCCCGCGCCTAGCTCGCTGCCGCCCCGCCCGCATGCTCCCTTCCTCCCTCCCTCCCTCCCTCTCCCCTCCGCGACCTCCACGGCGACTCCGCGCTGTCCAGCGACCCAGCTCCCGTGCTCCCCATCGGAGACGAGGACGAGGACGAGGACGGCGGTTCCGACAAGGTAGGTGGTCCTTCTCTGGATCTGAGCCCTCCTCCTCCTCCTCTGGATCTTAGGGAGCGAGCTCTGGGGTCCTTCCCTCCTCCCTCCGGCGAGCTCAGAGGTGATGGGCCAGGGCTGGAGCAGCCTGTACCTCGAACCCATCTCCTTGTTGTTTTCGTACGCCTTTTTGTTGTTTTCTCCGGGTTGTAATGGGTTTTTGGGATGTTGCAACAGATGATTTCCGAATGTTGCAATGGGATTTTTGGGTTGTTGCAACAGATATTTTCGAATGTTTCATTACATATTTTTTGATGTTGCAATACCACTGTTTGAGATGTTGCAGTACATAATTTTCGATGTTGCAGTACATAATTTCCATTGTTGCATGTTTTTTGATGTTGCACTATATAGTTTTGCGATGTTGCAGTATTTATATCCCGATATTGCACTACAGTTCACATATTTTTTGCGACATTGCACTTGAAGTGTTTCATGCTTTTGGGACAGGGGAGCGGTGGGGAACGGGGCGTGGTGGGGAACGGGGTGCGTTGAGGAACAGGGACAGGGGTGCGATGGGGAATGGAGGACAGGGGCGCGGTGGATTCCATTCCATTGTGTTCCGATCTGATTATGTGGGAGGGGGCGGACTGTTTAGGAAAGGGAGCGACGTCCGGACGCAACGCTCCCACCAGACGTCCGGGCGCTAGGAGCGCCGTTTCTTATTTGACATCACAAACATTCATATAGTTTGGATATAGAGCCATATGGGTCATTTTGGTGGCCACTACTGGTAGTGAAGGAGAACAGTAGTACCAAATAGGGAAGGAAATTTCAACTCGGTGTTAGATAAGAAACTTCGATTTCAGAAGTGCCTTAGGAGAAATGATGATTTTTTCAAGGCTGAATAAATCATTCTCTCAAAAATCAAGCACGATTCATTTTCCTTGGATCTAGCATCATAGCTTTTATAGTTTGAAACTAAAATTCTTCCTAGAATGTTATATTTGAGTTTTTTATTAGCTTGTTTATCCTGAAATGCGTTTCAAGAATCTAGAAAAATCATCTAAATCATGGTTTCAGAAAGTATTAATTTGTCATGTAATTTTCAAGCATACATGCTCAAGTGAAATCCGAAGTTCCTTAACAAAGCATACATTGCTCAAAATTAGATGTTGGATACTAAATTAGATGACAAAGTCCCTTAACAAAGCAAGTATGATGGGGAATTACATGAAAAAAATACTACTTTCGGAATCATAAATCTAAATGTTTTTCCCAGATTTTAGAAGCTATTTTAGAGTTGAACAGCTTAACCAAAAAAATAGATACAGCATTCCAGAAAATACTAACGGCGGACAACTTACAAAAAAAAGAGGATGGCCTCATCAAGATCATTGTGTGTTGTGCGATGGGCCGCTGGAATCAAGCCAACATCTATCTCTGCTTTGCTCGTTTGCCAGAGCGGTGTGGAATCAAATCTAGCCCGGGAACATTTTGATGTGCAAATGATACATTTCACCCAAGACCCGTTCACTTCAGCGCTTGTGGGAAGAGACCGCACCCAAGATCCCAAAAGAAGAAAGAAGACGGTTGAACGTTTTGGTGATTTACATATGTTGGAATCTTTGGAAGGAAAGAAACTGAAGATTCTTCGATAGCGCCTAAGAATTGGCCATGCGGTTTGCTTCAAGAATAAAGAAAACATCGAGCAAACGAAGATGGCGTTCGCGAGGGTGGACTAGCAAACCGGGAACTTGTTATATTCGTGTATTGTGGCTTATTTTGTGGTTTGGGATCTCTTTGGGCGCCCAGCTAGTGGGGCGTCGACCAGTACATAAACTATGTGTCTTTCCTTCCTTGATTAAGAGATAGAGCTCCTGCCGTTTCGTTCAAAAAATTTACAAAAGTCATATAATACTAGACCTAAGCAAAATAGGTTGTGCTTAATTTTCAGCATCTACTTGAAAAAATATATGATTTTTGAGCTCCTATGACTTTGTTTGGATTGACAAGAGAGGATGCAGAAGCAATGGGGAATGGTGGGAAGTGTAAATATTGTTCTATGGAAGAACGACTTCTCTAAATATTGTTCGCCAGATGGGTGACTTTAAAAATAGTTTAAAAATAAACCTGTCTCCTGTAAAACGAAATTCATTGACTTTGTTTTATAGGAGTACAACTTTTCGCAAAATAGTCTTACGTTATAACGAGTCACTCTATGGTATAATAATGATTTTCGAAAAACACTATCGGGAGACTGACCGTATATTATTTTTGGAATTCCACCAAAACTAGGTATATTTTTATAATTTTCATACTGATACTAAAATGTATTGAAAATAAAAAATCAGAACCAGAGTAGACGTGCCATTGTAGTATTCCTGTGTGGCCGAATTGCTAATTCACCAAGTTAGTAAGTTCCATCTCGGAAGGTTCAGTTTCAACCAATCCTGGTTTGAAGAGAAACAGAAGGGCCAGCGCCGGGACGTCCGGACGCTGCTCCGTTCGAGCGCATCCACCGCGCCCCGTCCCGTCTCGTCCCCACGTAACAGAATCGCGCCCCGTTCCAATCCTGTAACAAAAGCGCGCCCGTAACCCCGCAGCACAGGAGCGCGCATGCCGCGCCTGCCTCACCCCGCCAGCGGATGCGCACTGTGGAGGCGTCTGCTGGCCTCAGGCACCTGCACGGTGACCCACGACGGCGCCCTAGCAATAGCAGGGGCTGTGGCAAGTGGATCACATTGCAACATGTACAATACCCGATCTATTTTTGAAACATTCACATGCAACACTTGCAACATACGTTTGAAGACAGATTAAACATTTGAAATATGTGTCTGAAACATTTACAAAATACACCTGAAAAACACTTAGAAAACCATTGCAAAACATACGTAACATCTAGATAAAACACTTGCAAACATATGTGTAAAACATATGCAACATCCAGATAAACACATTTGCACCATACATCTTAAAAAACAAATGAAACATTGGGAACAGACCTTTGCAACATACGTGTACAAGCATTGCGACATATGCAGCATTCCGAACTACTTTTGCAACATCCATACGAAACACTTGCAACATACCTCTGAAATAATTGAAACATGCGGTTTTAGCCCAACATCTCTTTGCTGCTTGGGAGAATAGAGGATCGTCGGCATGTGGAGTTAACTTGTGTTGAGCTTCCCGGTAGCACGGAGATCGTCGCTCTGGTGGAGAAGGCTATGGCGGGACACTCTGGTGGAGAGAGAGAGGGCCGGGAGGAAGGCCTACTGGTCGCCGCTCTTGGCATGAGCTGCCACCGAAAAGGGCGGAAGCGACCGGGGCGGGCGCGATGTAGAACGTAAGCCACACGACAAACGATGAGAGCGATGGAGAGGGTGGAAGGCGGGCGGTAGCGCTCGGGCGCAGGTGGAGAGGAAGAATGGTGGTCAGCCAAGCGCGGTGGAGAGCACCGCGGTGGAGCACGGCGCCGATTCGAGAGTGGGTTCGAGAATGGGTGCGGGAGCGACGGCGATTCAAGAGGAAAGTGAAGAGCAGAGTTTTTTTAATTAAGCAACGCGAGATGGCGTCCGGACAAGGGGCAGTGTTGGACCGTTCGGGCGGCGTCGAGGCCCACCAACGCAAGCATCTGGATGACCGGACACCCTACCCACAGTATTTCCGAAAGAGAAAAGGCCAAACAAATAAACGAGCTCAACTGTGAACAGCCACTGCGCTAGATTGAGCTGGTGACAGAAATCATAATTGACACATTTTCTTAGGAAAGCATGAGGTGGAAAACAACTTCCGGGGAACACCACCAGATGGGCCTTCAAAAGTCCGTGAAGCAGCCTAGCAGCAGAAAGGGAGTTGTAGATCATGATTACACCAAAAACATAACTACATGTCTCCCTCCAACTCGACTGGATCCAGCTTTAGAGCCAAACAACGAAACAAGCCATGATAATGCTTCCAAAAAAATCCCTGAGACAGGGAGCGTGACATTGGAAGAATCAAATGTGTCCACAGATATACTATAACCAAAACATGCGCCGAAAGCTTGATTGGTTCAAAGAAATGTGCTCGTTACATCCTGTCAAAGTTTTGTAGCAGCTCATCACATAATTAGCATGAACAAAACCATATCTTGTAGGTCCTATATGTAAACGCGTCCAAGCCCCATGTCTACTGATACTTCAGTAACTTCATCTTCAACGAACATGTATATCTGTTAGTGACAAAAAAAAATTTAAAAGAAATGCGAAATTGGTGTCCCTAGTCTCAATATATAGGGAACAGGGCAGCAAGCAAATAAACATGTTCCTAGTTAAGTAAAGCATAGAGCCATTGTGCTAAACCATGCTCCCAATATGACCAAGCCTTTGTGACTAATTCTTTTTCCTTATATATAGCAGAGCCTCTGTGACTTTTGTACAAAAAGTGTTCAGCTTTCCTACTAAATTTCAGTAGACCCTATTCTAAACAAATCCAGTCATGTTGATTAATGATGTAGTCATAATACAATCAGATCACTGACTTTATTTAACTTTTCAAAAATTATTAAGAGGAAATAGTGACCCACAAAGCTTGTGTTTCTTATAATGAGCCCCCTGCACTATAAATACTATGAGGCTCACAGGCAACAATATGTCTTGTTGTCGTTCTTTCTAACTGATCCTGAAGTTTCTACCATCAATCCATCATGGTCTGTGGTGCTCACTTACACATCCCCTTGTCTTCCATACAATCATATCTGGTAGGGCTTGAGCTAACTAATATGTTGTGATTGCTCAGTGTTTCAGAACTTGAGCTGCGAAGTGTGGTGGGTACTGAGATCATGGGAAATAACAACGTCACTGGACAACAAGGTATGCATTTTGCTGAATACAATCTGCTGCCTAACAATGAGGTTTCAGTGTTTCACTAGTTATCTTCTTTTGGAAATTCTAGTATCAGAAGAGACCACTAATGGAGCTGACAAAACCGTTGAGCCTTCAAATAGTTCACCTGGGCCCAACAGCACAAACAGTGACACAAGTACGGATAGTGGTACTAATTTACACAAAAATTCAGTATTAATGAATCGCCACTAATCTGCCTGTTTATGCTAGACAATGAGAAGGATGGCACTGAGGATGTCAACTGGTCAAAATCCTCAAAGGAACCCATCATTACCAATGCTGAAGATAAGCAGGTGGCCTCATACCAAAATATTTCATCAGATAAGATTGAAGGCTTAGATGAGAAAAAAAGGAGCTCAATTCAGTATAGCACATCAACACGAGATGGTCAGAGTAGTAACTTACAAAAAGGTTAGTTAAAGTTTCCCGACTCAGTTTCTAGTTAACTTGGTACCCTGCCATATCATTTTCTTAAGTTCAGAAAAGTTCTCCCCGTTCCCTCATTAGTGAAGAAGCATGGAAATTTCATAAGGTCAGTGGTAAAAATGAAAATAGTCCCCTTAAAACAATGAAAACAAGCTAGATATAGAGATTCATAAGGTCAGTGATAAAAGTAAAGAATAGTCCCCCTAAACAGGGAAGAAAAATAGCAAGATAAATATAGTGACTCCAAAATAATACAAATATAGGTACTATCCATCTTAATATGCATCTTCAATAAACAACTATTTTAAAGAATAAACTTTAGAATCTAAACACCATACTGCTTTTAGTTCCCCAGCAGCTCTGAATTCTCTTAACAAAAACAAGCAATTTGGTACAGATGATGAACCATTGAGGAAAGAAGCAACTGAAACAGCCATATTTTCTTCCGAAATAATTGCTCTTGTCAGTACCACTGAAGATGTGACAAGCTACAAGGATAGTTCAATCTCTAATGAAAAAATTGTACCAAGGGAAGAAACTATCCAAGCCAACCACAAATCATTATTACAAGAAAAATTAGAAGGTTCACTAGAAGAACAGGAAGAAACTAGCAGTCATGACAATTCCCCCATGGGTGGTAGTCTAGCTGGTGAAGATACAACTGAGAACTTAGAACGAGGATACATTGAGGTGCCAAACAGTAGAGGATAAATTGGTGGCAATGCAAGGAGAAACTACATCATCAATTGAATCAATTGTCAGCACTTATCTGGATGCTGATGACTCTGAGATCAAGGAAGTTGTTATAGAAGATAAGTCTGGACAAAGAAAGAGTGGACCAGATGTGCAACCATTAGATGGCACAAGCATAGAGACATCCAAGAATGACACCATGCAAATACAAATACCACATGACAAGGAAGAAAACAGAGCAATAAGCAAAACTGCAACAGTAAAGCTTATGATTGAAAGTGATGAGCCACTTGAGGATGATAATAATATCCATGGAATGGGAAATCAGGATGAAGATAATACAATAAGTGCATTGTGTGGTAATCTCTGTAATGATGAAGTTGTTGCAAAGTGTCAACCATATTTAAAAAATCCAACTGCAATAAATGATCCAGAACTGGGAAATGAACAAAATGAAAGTGTAGTTGGTTCAAGACAGAGTTCAGGTTCTGTTACTACAACAATGGAGCATAATGGCACAGAATCAATATACAAGGAAGAAGGAATTGTTGAGAAAAATATCACGGTTTGGAATCTAGAAGATAATTTTGCAGCAGAGAAGGAACCTGAAGAATATTATGGTAACTTAGTCAGCATTACTGAAGTCAATGGAAAGGATTTTACAGGCTTACAATCATCTTTGTCAGATCATCACCATATTGTGAATGAAGAGATACAAAGAAAAGTCAATGGAATAACCGGAATAGTAGAGTTTGATAAAGAGACAGTAAAGGAAATTTTAGAAGAAGATAAGGTAAATAATGTAGAAGGTCTAGGTCTCCATTTTGATGCACACGTAGTGGCAAAGGAGGGAGGAGACTTATCCAATTTACCAAAGGCCATACCATCAACTCCTCTTCAATCACTAGAAGATATTGACAGGGAGGTATATAGAACCAGAGATAAACAAGAAACTATTACAAACTCACAAGGTGACCAGTCTCAGCAGATACTGCTTGAAAAATACGAGGTTTTGAAACTTGAGAATGGTGAGATTCTTAGAAAGTGTATGCAGTTGGTGGGAGATAGCTCGAATGTACTCATAATCTCTACTGATGGTATCAACCATGAGAAAGTAGATACGAACACTAGATCTTCAGATTTTACCTTTGAAGCCAACCACTACCAGAAGGAAGTCACAGAAAGCACTGCAGCTGCAGCCTTTACTGCTCAATGCAATCAAGTGAAAGTCACAGCAAGTGTTGATACGGCTACCGAGGAACAACATCCTCTTCAGACATCAACTCCAGGGAGAGAAGCCAGTGAAGTGACTCCATTACTTCAGGGAGCACAAAATATAGGTTTTTCCAATTCTATTGAGCAGCATAGCCAAGTACACGTGGAAATCCCCACAACCAACATCGCTGTAATGCAATTTAAAGCTGAAGCTGAGGAAGAATCTGAGAGGAGCCCACTGTTAAGCCCCAGGGAACCATCAGAAGACTTCAGAATACCAAATCATTCTGCAAGATTTAAGAAACCATTTCAGAGCTTGCTGACGAAAGGCGAAGCTGGTATGTGGTCTCCATTGAAGGAACCAGAATCAAACTCGAAGAGTAATACCATGGTTAGTTCACCAAGAAGCAAAGAAAAGCAGAAGGCAAGATCCTCTCTTTTTACCAGTTGCATGTGTTGTACCACTGCTACAAACTGATGTATGGCTCCATGTGTGAGTTGTTTTATTCTTCAGTGTTTGGTTGATTGTTTTGTCCCACATGCTTGATGATTGAGTTAGTATAGTGAATGATGTATTGCAGTTCCCCAAGATATAAATTTTAAGATATCACAGTTTGTACTTGATTGGGTATCTGTAAATTTACACTGGTGTATGTGATCTAAACAGTTATCTAGATAAATACACCTGGTGTATTGCACCCAATATATAGCGTTTCAGTATCTAATGGTGCCTCAATAGTGGTCCTATTCCTGAAATAAGAAATATGTTTATGTTTATATGATGTCAGCATGCCCCAGTTATCTCCCTATTTATTTTACATTTTTCTGCTTCCAAAAGTACTATACTTCTACAAATTTACCATGATCCAAATCATGATAATTTTAGGCATATAATCAAAAGCTAGTTTAGTAAATTCACTTTCTAGTAGAACTAGGATGTCAGGCGCGCTATGCTGCGCCCGCATAATCATTTCTTTTTAGTTCCACATACTTAGGGCACATAAGCATTTCCTTTTAGTTCCCCGTATACTTAGGGCATTTGAAGCATTTCTGTTAGTTAGCACCAGCGGGGTCGCTAGCTGGAAATCATTTTAAGCAAGCGGCCTGAACCCGGGTAATGCATTGTTCATGATTAAATTTTGCATGGGTTTATAGGTTGTGCATTATTGTGTTGACCTTTGCCATGAATACCATTGCAAGATAACACAGATTGCTCCTGCACCATGATCATGATGATTTTGCCTTGCATTCATGACAACTTTGAACAGTCAAAATAATACGGTGATGTAAGAGAGACCATATAATAACAGACATATATCATAATCTAGCATATACAAAAGAACTGAACATGTATCCTAATATAGAGACAATCCTATCCATACTGGTTGTACATTCCTTGCAGCTGCAGGTGCTCTGTAAAAGATATATTCAGTTCTAGTCATGATGAGACCATATTTTTAGTTAAAAAAGATAGAGAACATAGTTGCGAATATAGATATTAGATCTATAAGACCACAGGGCACATGCTAATTCAATTTGCTCATAGGCTTGTAATGGAATTAACCCTGGATAATGTATATAGTCACAAGGGGCTTTAGACAATAGACATAATGAAATGAAAAAAGAATGACATACATAGAACAGTTAGGTACCCTAACAATGTAGACCATTTCCTTAACAGGAAGTCACACCTGAAATATACAGAACAATCCACAATGTAGGAATTGTTCTCCTTCCTGGCACTTCAATATATTAATGTACCATTTGTTAGCACTGGTATGTAAGTAACATTGTCTTATTAACATGGCACAATAACATGGTTTTATAACTGTTACTATAGATGAAGTCTCAGGTAAAAGAGCAGTGAAAAGTATGGTCTGTGAGTGTTCTTTTACCTTCAAGCTATAGTCAGTAATCAGGAGCCCACAAACCAAAATCATATAGGCAGAGCTTTCCTGTGTGGGTGGCCTATCAATGGAATTTTCAACATTTTTCAGAGCATCACGGATATTTTTTTAAATAGGTGAAAACGAAAAAAGACCTAAATTAGAAGCCACCAGATAAGCAGTAGCCATGACAATAAAAGGTAAAGGTTGGTTATCAAAGCTAAATTAACAAACATAATAACTGCATACCAGCTGGAGTCATGGAAATAGAACTGAAAACATGAACAGAGGGGCAAGGATGGAGCTGAGAAAGAAAAGGAAAAAAAAAACTAAATCGATCCCGAAGATCCCCGTGGGCGTGGGCCTGAATCGAGGCGGAGAACCTCCGCCGTAACCCCGCTGCGCCCCTGCGCTCGTGGGGCCACAGCAACGCAACCACGCTTCGCGGCAGCAGTAACAAGTGCAGCACCAAGCTTGGAGAGTGAGCGGAGACGGGCACGGCGAGGTGGATGGTACGGTGATAGTAGTATTCCCTCGTGCCAAGAAGACCATAAATCTCGCCTCCGCTATCAAATTTAATATTTATTATTATTACCAGTAGACAAGCACGTGCGGCACGCAGTGTTTATAGTTGTAATAAGAGATGTTATATTATTATTACAACAATAAACTTTAAACAATTTTTTGTAAAATGTTTATAAGATACATAAACAAAATCTGTTTGATCTAAAAAAAATGTGCGACATCATTTTATTTTAGGTATAAGACTTCATATTGTGTGGTATGGAAACTAATTAAGAAATATTTAGAGTCACATTTTTTGGCTTGTATTGTATATAAATTATTACTAATCCATTTAATTAATGGTATATAAAGATACAATATACAATTGCAGATTATTTAAGGATAAACTCTCGTGAGCGCCAACATTGAGCAAACCTCTTCATATTTGATTGGGTAGAGTACAGAAATGAAAGCATATGCATAGATTTGCATGTTATTTTTTTAAATGTCATATAAAAGGTAAGGACAAAGGTAACAAGGCAGAATATACATTTGTTGACACACAATCAGTTCACGAGATCTTCAGAAGTCAAGAAAACATTTTTTTAGTATGAAGAAAGAGAGCATTTCAAGTCTACCTGAAAAAAAAAAGACTCATGCAAAGGGCCTTCTCTGAGCATTTTCCAAATAACCTATGGATTGTGTTAACCAGATTCCCATCATTGTTACCAGCCAACAGTCTCGTCCCAGGATCAAATAAATGAACCTGCGGATGGAAGCATATTTTAGAAACTCCATAAGAACTCATGGCATATAGCCAAAGCCATTCCAGCAAAATCGGTGCAGGTATCACCAACGTAATAACTGAAGGATACCTGATGCATAGATGAACACAGGATTTTCTCCAAAGAAAAAAAAAGGGAAACAAAACTTTGATTTTAAAGAGATCAAGTGTGCTTATCAGGTCTGGTGCAGTGGTGAGAGCTATCTCACTGAATCACCAGGTCGTGGGTTCAAAGCAATATCTCCGCGGATTTTACAGGGGAAAGATTTATCTCGGTTTATCCCTTCCCCAAACCCCACTCATGTGGGAGCCTTCAGCACTGGATTTGCCCCCAAGTGTGCTTATCAGGATCCACACCGGTTAAAAGCTAGCAAAGCTAATGAAATGTTTCGGAAAGGCAAGACAAGATAAAGATGCTATGCAGATTAGCTGATGAATTTTTTTCAGTGCATTAGGAATACTTTTTATACCGCAATAGATAGATATAATTGTGTGCCCACCTTCAAGTCCATTTAGGTCAGCGCGTATATTTATCTAGTTTGTACAAAAGACCACGAACAGGAGCATGAATAGCTTCTGATTATAAACCTGCGCATATATGCCAAAGGAAACAAAAGGTTAGTGTATAAAACAACTTATGATTATAAAATCAGAAACTGGGCCTCAGCACGTTCAATGTCTCTCCAATCGTCCAAGGTCCCATGTGAGAGATTTTCAACGGGGTCTGGGATTAAAAACACCACTGCTCCCACATCATTGGACCAGCAAGGTCAACAAAGGTAATCAAATTGGAAATCGAAATAAATTTCAGTTTTGTGTTTCTTAATATCCCTCGTCAGCTATCAATATGTAGCTTATGAGGCATACGTATGCCATAGTATCGGATTGCTCAAGTGTTCAGTGTATGAGATATGGAATAATAAATATCGACTGGTAGCATGTAAGAGCATTCAGAAATTAAAATAGGACAGCCCAGCTTACCTAATTTTTTACTATCTGACTCTTTCTTTGAATAAAATTTACATTTAGCCCCTTAAAAGATTTAAACTCATCTTTGAATCCTGTGGATCAATGTCATGAGTCCTGCCGCCAAGGTAACACGTCTCAGCGCCATAGATATTGGCGCCGAAGTGTCTGGCTATATTAACGTCGAGGTGTCTGATCGTGCACAGAAAAAAATCATCTCGGCACATGATATCTAAATTTTTACTATTTAACTTTTTCTTTGAATAAAATTTACATTTGTCTTTCTGAGAGAATTAAACTCATTTTTGGACTTTGAGGATCGGCGCCATGAGTCCTGACGCCGAGGTAACACGTCTCGGCACCATAGATTTTGATGCCGAGGTGTCTGACCGTGCACAGAAGAAAATCCTACATGGTCGATACCTCGGCGTAAGAATATATGGCGCCGAACTCGATGCCACGTATCTTGACGCCGAGGTACCGGCTTCAAAACGTGCAGCCAAGTGGAGAGAGAGACGTGGGCCCCGAACAGAGACGACGTTGAAGACTAGGTGCGTGCGGCGCGCGCCACATGCGCGCACAGCCTAGACCAGGCGCGTGCGGCGCGCCCCATCAGCTACACCCGGCGCCCGAGCCAACCAGCAGCCTGCAGCGCTGGTTCCCCTTACTCCGTTTCCCACGCCGGTTTGCAAAAACCGCCGGCGGCATCCCACCGTCTTGCATGCAATGGACAGCAAGGTGGCGTGGCGGTCGTCGTCGTCAGAGCCTACGCCTGATGCGGCGGGGATGAAAACGGATCGGATACGGACGGATATCACCGATATTACATTTGTTTTTGTATTTCTGTCCAGATTCGGATTCGAATATGAATAATGTCAACTATGTCGGATAGAATACGATTGGATATCGACATCATAAATATGCGATTTGAGTATTCGGATACGGATACGAATACGGTATCAAATGTTGAATATCCGGACTCGAATACGAACAGATCTCAACCCCTCTAAACAAATTCGATTTCGAATACGGTCGGAAAATATCCGTACCGTTTTTCGTCCTACCTGATGGAGCCTCACTGATTGACAGGGAGGGAGAGAGACAGGCAGATCATGCAGGCCATGCCCGAGCCTCACTGACCAACACTACTGCTAGCCGAGTTGTAGCATGGTAAAAACACACCATAAAATCTAAAATGCATCATGGTTTGCCCGTATGTGGTGTATACACATGCATTACAAAATTACAAAATCTCTAGAAGTGCAATAATAATACGTACTATTAGTCTTTTTTAACGAAGAGACAGAATTTAAAAATAACTCATAAAAACACAGTAGG